GAAGCGAAGAAGGCAGAGGAAGAGAAGAGAGCTCAGGAAGCGAAGAATACAGAGGAAGAGAAACCTCCTCGTGAATTGCTCCACACAGTTTTGGATGATTTTGTGGCTGCAGCTGTCAAGACCAAATCTGAAGATCTTTGCATGAGTCTGGCCATGGACTTGGCTTGGTACCTGAAAGCATTGATTACGCAGTTGGAAAAAAACACCTGCACCCCAGAAGTCCGGGCATCGTTCCATTCTCGCCTGAAGGAAGTGCTGTCATCCCCTATCACTTTGGAGACAAAGGAGAAAGAAACCGAGGAGATTGACGTGGAGAGTGATCCAGAGAAGCCAGGGGATGAGGATCGGAGAGGAACCTTCAAGGACTGGATTTATAAAATCATGCGTGCTACCAGCATCTGGATCTACACCATAGTTCTAGAGGGGTATCGCTGGCAATCCGCATGCTACACTAGAGCTACCACACTGTCGCTATTAGTTAAGCTCAAGCTCGATCTACTATCACCATGCCAATCCTCAAGCTACACTAGAGCTACCACGCTGCCGGCGCTCATCCTAATCCTCACCTCATCCTCATCATCCTCATCCAGATTGCAACACCGCAACAAAGTCAAGTGGGAGTTGGTGGAGCTTATCCACACTGCGGGCCACCGGAGGAGCTCCCATTCGAGCGTAGTCAGTGGTCATCGTCGTCATCGTCGTAGTAGTAGTAGTGTAGCAGCGGTATTTAGAGTCGAACCTGTAAAGTACGTGAAAGGAACTTTAATTCTCTGTCCATTCCAGGACAGAAAGCCTTTGGTGCCAGAGCTCATCGACCTTTTGGAGCTTCCAGAAGAGCCAAACGAAAGTTCTGTGGCCAAGATTTTGGAGGATCAACGGAGGTTGAGGAGTGAATTGAAACAAAAGATGATGGAGCAGCAAGTTCCAAATTCAAAGAAGAGGGCACGTAAGTCGAAAGAAAAAAACAAGATGAGCGCGAGGCAGAGTACTCGATGGAGGCGGCTTTGGAGGAGGAGGACAAGAAAATGAAGCGTGAAAGGGACCAGGAAGAGAGTGATGAAAATCAGCCTGCTAGACAGGCCCGGGGCAGGGGCAAAGGGAAAGGGAGAGGGAGAGGCAGGGGTGGCAGAAATGGTCGAGCAAAAGCGCTCGCGAAGGCCGACGTGGAGCAAGGTCAAGGAAAGGGTGCGGCCAGCTTGGAACAGGTTGAAGACAGGAAGGACATGGCTGCCAAGGAAAAGCAACCAGCATCCATCAAACCAGCAGAAGAGACGAAAGTGGAAGGCAAGAATGCAAAAGGTGATTTGCCCGAGAAAGTACCTGAAGAGAGGAAAGTGGAAGGCAAGAAAGGTGATTTGCCCGAGAAAGTACCTGAAGTGGAAGAGAGGATGCAAAAGAAACGTCCAGGGGCAGAACATGAGGAGAAGATGTCCGTCATATGTGCCGGCCAACATTTCGATCGATATATATTTATAATTCTTAAAGTCTTAAAGCTCATCATCTAAAATGAACTGAGCAACACCGTCGAAGTGAGGTTCATCTCAACTTTTCCGTTCTTTCTGTGGCATTTGTTCCATGGGGCGTCTTCGACTTGATCAATGTGTGTCACAAACTTTGCACTGCAGGACGCTCCGCAAAAAAGGAAATATTACAAAGAGGACCCGCCCGCAGTTCTGAAACGTGACAGCTCTCCCCACTGATCGACTTGACTAACCATCACGAACCCACAGCCACACGTTCCATCCCATTCCTTCTGACATCACGTGGCCCTGGCCTCATCACTGTCCACCAGGAGACTCGAAGCGGCAACATCAGGATCCTGCAGGAGCTGTCAGTGGCTGAAGGGTCGACCTACGAACTTCCTGACAAAGAGAGACTGAAATCCGCCATGCCTTGGTCCTAGCTTATTATGCAGGATCATTCGAATGATGCCTACCTGTTTTTTTTGGCGAGTGCTCGCTCCTAGGTCATGGACCCAGAATCCAAATGATAGGATTCAAGGTGGTGTGCCCATCTCAACAGTGCCATGATCTAAGCTAGAAGTCGATCGATCTAGCTAAACGTGAACTGTCGACCAATTTAATCCTTCATATAATGCGGTCATTGAGGCTTACTGGGAGCTTCTACATCGCCAAGGTGTCCCCAGAGTGGTTGGAAAAGGTGCGAACACACACCGGCAAATCCTTATCAGTGGCTGGTCTGGAATCAATTTTGGTGTCACCAACCGTTGTGCCGATGTCTTTTTAATGTCTTTTAATTCGTGTGCCATCAAAACTCCAGAACTGTGCTCAATTTGGTGGATGCTTCTTTTTTGAATTAGGTTGAGACACTGACTTAAACTCTGCATCCAGTCTTCAGGTGAACGGTAAAGGTGGGGTGACACTAACATGGAGCCGTCACAACGGATGTGCTGCCACGTTTGGCTCTTAATTCAGAGCTTATTGATCGATCATTTGATAAGTGGTTTTGTTGTGTGAATTCAATCCCAATTGCACTTCACGATAATGCCTCACCCAGGTGGAGTTTGGCCTGTGCTCTGGCCAAGTGGATTCCCCTCGAGGATATTTCAAACAGGGAGGAATCGTGAGAGTGCGTGTGCCAGGTTTTGCAAACTGGATCCGTACAGTGGGACATTGACGCATATTAGCTAGTGCTGTATCTAGGGTAGTATAGCTACGCTGTCTATTTATAAATATATGCTTTGTCGTGTCAATCTAGTATGTCCCAGTGACCAGTGGTGTGATCCTTTGGATTGAAGCAAGTGTGGACGAGTGATCCGCCCACACATAGATCCCAATCCGCGATCGATCTATGGGGCTTAGGGGATTGACTCCGTGACTCGAGAGTCCTCACAAAAGAAGAAAAGTGCATAACTGCTGACACCCAGTCTTCAAGTTTTGATCAACCCATGCACATGGATTCAGTTAACCGGTTTTGCACTGTTTCGATTGGTTCGACGCGGCAGAGTGCCTGGCTCAACTGTGACTTTGAGAGTGAGGGACGCAGGGAGGCTTTGACAGGATGCCTCAGTCGCGGGTGGATCGGAAGAACCCGCTGTTCATGACAAAATGCGCCGCTATGATGGCTCTTCAATTGGGCTTGCCGATGGTTGTGCCCAAGCCTTATGTACCATATTCTTGACTAACAAAACCCACACACATCACTTAACTTAATGCCAAAATATGCGATTCAGGCTGGACCTATGTGATTGGGTCGCAGAGACAAGCTCTGGAAGCCACACCCGTGTCGGAAGCTGAACCTTTGCAGCAGCCAAGCTGTTGACCAACGAGTGCCCAGGATCTTATGAACTTTGACGTGTTCAGCGGCGAGGGGTCCATTCACCACGCATTTGGTGGGAGCCCTGAATCACAAATCTTTAAACATTGAATGAAGCCCTGCGCAATCGAATACAACCCAGCAGTGAAAATATGTAAATAAGTATACTTCCTCCTACACCGAGGGGCCCAGCACTTTCCGACGTGCGAGTCCGAGTCATTCTGTTAAGTGGTTTGGATGTTATTTGGATTGATCAATCGATGGCTGGAATAATTTGTCCTTGGTCGACCATGTCCCAGGCAGTACTTTGATGTGGCAAAGCGGAGTTCCAACGATATATGCACTACGTATGGGACTTAGGGTGCTAGGTCTAGAGCATTGTGTCTTCAGTTAGATTGATCCCGAGGCAAGGCTTCTGTCATGCGATATTGGGCACACTGCGGCTCTTGCCCGATGCCTTATTAACCCTTGGACCACCTTGTTCGTCATTCGTGTGGCTTAATTCAGCCACATCCAAACGGACAGAACAGGATCCGTACGGAGATGAAAGTAAGGAGTACGTAAGGCGAGGATCTTTGAGACTTGGACTAGACTCATTGGTACGTTATGAAGCCAGTTTGACTCATGTTCATGTGCATCTGAGATTCGCTTCTTCCGGATCTGCTCGGCCCAGGATGTGCAGTCGCGCGATGATGCTCGTCATCATTGCCACAGCACGGGCAGCCTATGTTGCTTTGGAACAGCCCAATAGCAGCCAAATGAAAAATTACCCTGACCTGGTTTTCACCGGGAAGAGGATCCAGGACCTCATTGGCTACTGGAAAGACCAATTCTTGCCAGGTTCCTAGTCCTAGCTACTAGCTATAGATTGTAGAATCGAACAATTCTTCATTGTCTTTGCTCTGAGTTTCATGGCTTCTTGGGGGGCCCCGACGGCAAAACCGACGCGAGTATGGGGAACTCCGTTCTTATCTCAGTTGCGTTTCTGTTGCAACTCGGACAAACGTGCTAGAATGGGTGTGGAAAGTTATACCGAGCGATCACTTATATATTATTAAATATTCGATCACTATATTGCATACTTTCCCAGGCATTTCATTCCAACAGTTTTTTCTGAGGAAGTGGATGCCAAAACTGCACACCAAGTTGACGAAGGCTCACCGACGTAAGCTTGCAGCAAACTCCGCTGCCTTGAAGGTAGCAACCAAAAAGAAGAAGGCCGATGGAACTACATCAGTGTAGGCTCCTCAGCATTTAACGTGATAGAATCCAATTAAATTAACTAAATTCATGAAGTCTATATAATAGAAAATCAGCAGGACAACAAGTATTAGTCCAACAGGCAGATGGGACCTGTGCTGGCTATAGTTTCAATTGGCCCAAAACTATATCTTACACCTGTTGGTAGGTTTATAATATATATTTACTGGACCTAGCTCAGCTCGTATGCTAGATTGGCACTGTTTGTTCATGAACTACCCTATAGGGTATACCTCATCACCAAACAATCGAACCCACCTCCCAACGTGCCTCCCAGGAGTGGAGGGCCAGGGTTGCGCGGCACCCAAGTCTATCCTCCCGGATATGGCAAGCAAATTTGCAAACTTCACACTGCCCTCATGGACTGGTGGTGTGAGTGGATTGGATCAATGCGTTGGCCTTGAGTCTTTTTCTAAGATTCTAAGACATGCATGCAGTCTTCAAAATCGGAAACATCACTCCAAACGATGTGGTTTGCTTTCTTTGCAGGGCTTTGTTTCTTGGTGCTAGGAGTCTCAAGGGCTAAAGCTTCAAGCTGCAATCAAACAAGCTTGGATCAAAGTGCAAAAGCACAATTTGAAGCCGGTGTGAAGCTTGATTGATTTGCAGTGAAAATGAACAAGAAATCAGGTTCAGTATGTCCTGCACCGGAGACAACGCAAATCAGGTGAAGAGGCGTGGAGCCTTCGCCAGGGCCAACTTGAAGGCTTTGAGTCAATTTGTTGCACGCGCCAAGGCAAAGTCAGCATAGCTTAGATCGATCTATTAGCTATGGTGCACAGCTATGAAGCTAGCCTATAAATTAATTTCTTGGGAATTAAAAATTTCCCAAGAGGTTTGTCATAGATCCTCTTTGGACTTGAATGTGTGGTGCTTGGATGGGGCTTGGAATCAAAAACAACCAACTAGTACTTCATTTTGATCGGAGTCTGGATAAACATGTTCTAGCTAGTACGATACTCCTTTTGTATTTGTCAAATTTGTTGAAGCACAGTTGCACGAAGCTCTGTCCACCCAGTCCTCGAGGATCGATCCAAGGTCGCCCGTTGGCCTTCCAGCGAGCCAATTCGTTTCCGATCACGTGGTGATTTGACGCAACACACTGGAAAATGCTGCAGCGCTACAGTAATTAGCTCTGTACAACATGAACATAGTACTCCGGATTCATGGGTATGTGCTTCAAAACCCTGTGGATCATAAGCATTTATTTCATGAACACCTAGTTAAATGAAACACCACACGTGTGAAAAGAGACAACACTTGCCTGAAATGTGTGTGACATACCAAGTTGCGCTATGAAATGCCAGGTGTTTCTGTGAAGGATTGTGAAACATATAACCCTCCCAGAGTATAACTCACTCAAACATCCTGCGTGAAGTTTGCGTGAAATGTGCGTGAAATACCAAGTTTTACCGTGAAAGGCTAAGTTTTCCCGTGAAGGAGCGTGAAAGTTAACCCTCTTAATGTATGACTCCCCCCAAAACGACTCCGCGTGAAGTTTGCGTGAAGTTTGCGTGAACGACCAAGTTTTCCCGTGAACGACCAAGTTTTCCCGTGAAGGAGCGTGAAAGTCACACCCCAAAAACACACACATCAAATGCAACACAAAAACACATGTTTGTTACATATTTTAGGTTGCATTGTTCACCTATATGCAACACCTCGGCCGATATACAGCTGGCATTTGGCTGCTAGTTGTCCGTTAGTTAGCTCAAGTTCACGTGTCTTTGGACAGCTCCAAGGGCATGAGTGACGACGATCAGTTGAAGCAGCTTTTACAGAAGGCCAAAGACCGAAAGCAGCGCGTGGATATCACTAGGGCACCGACACTTATCTTAGGCCAGGAGAGTGAGGAGCAGGAAGGAGCAAGCTCAGCTGCAACACCAACCAGTACAGGCAGGTTTCTTTTCTACCACTGCTACATGCATATATTAAAAATGGATTCACTAGTAATTACAACTTCGGCAGTGCTTCATTTGTGCAGTTTGTGTTAGTTCATGATGCAGTACTCAGTGGACCCTATGCATCCACACCCAAACAAAATAATCCTTTGCAGGTGCAAAGCGGAAGAAGGTGGTGATAAAGAAAGTGAAACGTGCACGTAAAGAAGGAGAAAAGCCAACAGGTGAGCTCGAGGCTGCTGAAGCAGTTGAAAACCTCAGTACAACCAGTCCTTCAGACAGCAGCCCCAATGGACCAGAGACCGATCTAGAGCCGGAGTCCCAGTGGAGGCTCTACGCGGAGACTTGCAGAAATTTTGGATGGATGCCTGAACTTATGAATTCTCCACAATTACTTACCTTGTCCCGCAGTCGTCCAATGTCTGCGCCAGCAACTCCATCGTCTTCATTCACAAGGTCCGGCTCCGATGTTTCTTTGGTGGCTGCTAGTCTTCAAAGGCTGTCAACTGGAGACCAGGATCCTCCAGTTGAACCCAAGCGCTTGATGGATGCACTCGATTCTGTGAGTGGTGATCAGAAAGTCAAGGAGGCAGAGAAAATGATGGCTGCTGCCATGGAGATCTTGAAGAATGCTCAGGCGTTGGCAGCATCAGTTCAGCAAAACAACGAAAAGAATGTGCCCGAAGTGGAGGCACAACGTGAGAAGGAGAAGGCTGAAAAGGAGACCGATGAGGCAAAGAAAGCTCAGGAATCAGAGGAGGAGAAAAGAGCTCAAGAAGCGAAGAAGGCTGAGGAGGAAAAGAAAGCTCAGGAAGCAAAGAAGGCGGAGGAGGAAAAGAAGGAAGAGGAGGAGAAAAGAGCTCA